ATGTTATCTTTTGAATGTTGTAATCAAATATGAGCTTATACTGTGGGACTATAACTTTATTTGTACAATTTGATGGCTATTGAACACCTCGCATTGGTTATTTATGGAACCATTTTTAGCTTGTATAAGGATCAACCTAGAAGTTGCAGGTTAAATTTTATAAAATGGTTTCAACAATGAGAGGAAACCCCTTGTTTTGAGACCTAAGTGACTGAATTACAAGATAATTGGATGAGAGAATGGGAAGACAATCCGAGTGCTGGGGAAGTAGGCAAGAATGGAGGGTAGTGGACCAAAACAGACATCAGAGCGGTTAGCAATTAGATCACTATTATTGGCTCACGGTGACCTAGGCCTGTATTTACAGCTGCAACGCACAGGGTGGCATGCAGCTTCGCAGTTGGTCGTACATGTTTGGTCTTTGGAATCCTCTGGTGATTAAGCCACAAAACCTGCAAATTGCTCTTCCTGGACACATTCCTATAATGGTGGTGGTGGGGTTGCCTGGGAATGCTATCCTTTAAAAGGCAATATCTTTGTAAACCCAAATTGCAGCCATCCAATTAATTTCGCCTGAAAGTAGCATCTAAAATGGCACGGTAACGTCTTAACAAGATGCTGCTACATGTCTCACTGGATGAAACAAGTTGGTCAGTCAAGAGGACTGGCTTTTTCTGGAAGCTACATCCTCACTATTGACATGATTGGGGAATGGAGGTAGCTCGTTACCAAGGTGAATATACCTCCTTGTGACTTCTCTGTTTGGGGTTGGTATCATGGTTCTCCCTTTAAAGCTGGCTCTAGGCAGGTTTGGTTCTTCTCTGTACCAATGTGGGCTCTGTAGGAGTTCCAATACTCCTCATTTTTCCAGCTGCCCCTCATGCCATCTTTATTAACATGTGTCTGACATAGTCTTAGATTGAGATTGTGTCTAGAGAGACTAAAACGAAGATGTACTCTGAAATATTAATTTTGTTTCATTGCTGAAATTTTTATTTAGATTCTATTCCTCTGCAGCATGATGGATGGAGGTGTAAATTATGGAGTCTTGTGTGTGTGAGAATTACATCGTATAATTCTTTTTAGGCTAAAAAATCTGTACTTTCCTAACCTTTTGTGTTGCTACAGCCTTGTACTTTTGCCTGAATTTTGTTGGTTTATGCGTTGCCACTAGTTCCAGAAAACTACCTCAGTATTTTATTGCATAAGTGAAAGTTGATATACCTGCTTATCAAAACTTGTTGGGCATTTCCTGTTTCATTTGCCCAAAACTTCCAGGTTGGCTGGGATGAGTCAACAGCTGGTGAGAGGCAGCCGAGAGTCTCACTATGGGAGATTGAGCCTTTGACAACCTTTCCCATGTATCCATCATTATTTCCGCTCAGACTGAAAAGGCCGTGGTACCCAGGAGCCTCATCTTTTCAAGGTGCTAAATGACTTATATATTACTGCTGTTTCCTTGTTTATTTTGCTTTTCTTTTCTGATAAGGAGTGCATGAGGTCCATCTGTTTTATTTTTTTTTGAAATAAATTTATTTATGTATGTTTTACTTTGGTAATTGGGCCTATCAATCCATGGGATGAGTCAACAGTTGGTGAGAGGCACCTCAGACTGGCACTTTGCTGGATTTACTTTCCCAAACCCCATGGTTTACCTTTGCTTGTTCCTCTTCTTGTTATCCATCCAACTGTTCATTGGCTAGCATTGGGTTTTGGAGATTTTTTTTTACCTTTGGTATTATTACAGATGCCAGTAATGAAGCTGTTAATGGCATGACATGGTTGAGAGGAGAAACTGGTGAGCAAGGACTCCATTCCTTGAACTTTCCATCAGTTGGTATGCTTCCCTGGATGCAGCAGAGGATTGATCCATCAATGCTCCGAAATGATCTCAATCAGCAGTATCAGGCCATGCTGGCTTTGCAAAATTTTGGAAGTGGAGATTTGCTTAAACAGCAAATGGTGCAGTTTCAACCACCTGTCCAATATCTTCAACATACTGGCTGCCATAATACGTTGTTGCAGCATCAGCAAGTAATACAGCAAGGGGTGCCTCCTCACATACTCCCTCCACAAACCCAAATGCTATCAGAAAACCTGAATAGGGCACAGGCGCAACAAGTCAACAATCAATCTGAAGAACAGCAACCGCATCATCCATTTCAGGAAGCATATGTGATCCAACATGAACAGCTCCAGCAGAGGCAATCATCAAATATACCATCTCCATCATTTTCTAAAACTGACTTTGCTGATTCAAACACTAAATTTTCAGCATCAATAGCTCCTTCAAGCATGCAAAATGTGCTAGGCTCACTCTGTTCAGAGGGAAGTACTAGTCTTTTGAACTTCTCCAGAACGACTCAGACCATGCTAAATGAGCAGCCACCTCAACAATCCTGGGTATCTAAATATTCTCATGGACAAGTCAATGCTTGTTCGAGTGCTGCGTCACTTCCCCCATATCCTGGAAAAGATGGTCCCAGTGAGCAGGAAGCTTGTGGCTTGGATGCACAGAATCAAGCTATTTTTGGTGCCAACATTGACTCTGCTGCTCTTTTACTTCCCACTACTGTCTCCAGTGTCGGTACTTCTTCAATTGATGCTGGTGTGTCTTCTATGCCATTAGGGGATTCTGGCTTTCAGAATCCTTTATACGGTTTTGTGCATGACTCTTCCGAGTTGTTGCATGGTACTGGTCAAGATTCACCTACACGAACCCGCACATTTGTCAAGGTACTAGTTATAGACTATGATGCACATCTTTTCACTTTCATTTCTTCTAGTTGATCACTGACCAAGTATTCTCGTTTGCATATCCAGGTCCACAAGTTTGGGTGTGTTGGGAGGTCATTGGACATCAGCCGGTTCAACAGCTATCATGAGCTGCGACAGGAACTCGGTCAGATGTATGGGATCGAAGGGTTGCTTGAAGACCCTCAAAGATCAGGCTGGCAGCTTGTATTTGTCGACAGGGAGAACGATGTGCTTCTCCTTGGAGACGACCCATGGGAGTGAGTACTTTACAGTCAACACCTTGCCTAGATTCCTTGATCACTTGCAAACACCCCTCTCAAAAGGAAAACATAATAAAAGGAATAAGAACCACATGGTACAAAATGGGTCGTGTAGTTATTTTAAGGCTAGGATCCGTCTATATCGCTCATATAGTTTTTGTATTGCTTCATTTTGTTGTTGGACCTTGGATGGTATGGCATATCCGTTCTTGTTTCTGCATGTTTAGCTATTGGTAATTTTGATGTAAGCGGTACTTTGGATTCTTATACGAGATCTGTGCAGGGCATTTGTTAATAATGTCTGGTATATCAAGATCCTGTCTCCAGAGGAAGTGCAGAAGCTGGGAAAGCAAGAGGGTGAATCCTTGAGTCGCATTGCTGCTGAGAGGATGAACAGCAGCAGTGGTGATGGGCGAGACATGGTCGCTAGGTTTCCTTCTTTAGGATCACTAGAATATTGAGAGGGAGTAATCACTAATCACTTAAAACAGTCCTAAAAGCTCCAAATGTTTTTGCAGTTTCTGCTTCCTATCTGTCTATTCATCACACTGTCGTGTTTGTATTTGTAGTGCTCTCTATAATCTGTTGTAGGAAGGTATAATTCTCTTTTAGCCAGCGGGAAGGATCAACAATATGTGATCTGGACCCAGTTGAAAACAAGAAACCTGTGCAGACATCCTAGTGAATGCAGCATTATGTACTGAAAAGAGGAGACAAGAAATGTAGTTGTATTAGAAATATTTTCTCTCTAGCTCTATTGTCTTGCTTTATGACTTTTTTTAAGGTGGAAAATACGAGTCTTATCGTTTGACAACTGAAAGTACACGCCAAACTCAGACAGAGAGTAACGAAAAGGGGGAATCTAAACTGCAGAAAAAAGACAGCATCATTGCCAAAAAAGCATGTATGTTGGTTTGCCTTTAGCAAACGCATTGATTGTGTTAAATAAACGTGACCTAATCTTGATGTTGAAGTAGAAATGAATGAACATCTGTTATGGGAATTTTGTCAAGATTTGAGGGATGGGGACAGAGATAATAATAGGCCCAGTGTATTTCCTCACAAAATGAGGAAATGAGGAAATTAGAGGACTATTTTTCAAAAACAAGTATTTTAAATATAATGTTATAGATTGTAATACATAAACAAAACAACTAAAAAACATCTATTCATATAATATATTAAAAACAACTCATAAATATATACAAAAAATTTTAATAAAATACAACAACATTTTCTATCTATCACCACCAACCCCTCCCTCATTCCCACCCACTATTGCCACTACCCCTCCCTTACCCCCACTCACCAACGCCACCACTCCCTCCCTCTTCCTCCTCCCCTCTTCCCCTTCTCTGTTCTTCCTCTCTTATGCTTCCCTTCCACCCCCAGAAGGTCGCAACCTTCTGGTTGGTTGCGATCTGGCCGCGACCAGATTAAGGGGGAGAGGGAAGGGCCGATGGTTGGTGGGGAGGAGGAAAAAGAGGGAGGGGGTGGTGGCGATGGTGGGTGGGGGTAGTGTTAGTGGTGGTTGTGGTTATGGGTGGTAGTTTAATTTTTAAAAAGTATTCTAAAAATATTTTAATGTTAAAAGGTATTCCAAAATATATTTCAAAAATTTCTCCAAAAAATCACAAAATCCACAGTAAAAGTTTTTCATGTACACTGTTACAGTAAAATATTTCAAAAACACTCCAAAAAACAGTTAATCCAAACAGATCCAAAACACATTAAAAGGAAATAATTAACCATCTCAGTAGCCTGTGGGCCGTGGCTTAACCAGTCCCAGCCCATTAAGACCTAAAAGGACCTAAAAATCCGGTACCTCACCGCCCCCTATAGGCCACAGTGACCCAATTGCCTATCCTAATTAGCCCACCTCGTCCTGCCCCGCTGCTGATGTTTGCGGGTGGGAGTACCTCATTTGATTACCCCAACGAAAAGAAAGTTATATAAAGGGGGAATAAAAAGGCATTTTTTTGGATAGTAGGACTGTAGGAGTATAAGAATTGGAATGGGAGCAGAAAATTCAAACTTGAGCGAGCAGGTTGAGAAAAAGTCCTTTTTGGGTTTCAATTCACAGTTCCCACTGGCGGTGGTGGTGGCGGAAGAAAGATGGTGGGGAGGAAGATGGAATGGGCGGCGAGAGGGAACCACCTAAGAGGGATACCAAGAAAAGCTATTTTCATGGCGGTCGGCGCTTTTGCAAAAGCGGTAGCCAATTTGCTCAACACCACCACCGTCCATAATGCCGAGACCCTCATTCACCTTGTCCGATCCCGCCCTCCTGGCGTCCCTCTCCTCACCGTCAGCAATCACATGTCCACGTCAGTCAGTCAGTCCCCTTCTTCTTCCTCTCTTGATATTTCATTTTTCTCTTCAGTGCACCAAAATATGTTGTGGGTTTTATTTTTCTTCTAGAACCCCTGATGGGTTCTTTCTAGCATATAGTTTCTTGTTGGATCATAATAGAAAGTGGATTGCATTTGCTTCCCTTTCATAGGATCCTGCTACCGGATTTCTGAAAGTATTTTGATATTAGTATGTTTCCCGTTTATATACGAGTTGATTTGATGTGCTATTACGGCCGAAGTTTTTTGCAATATGTTTGTAATTTCCTGTGGATACAACTATGAAGTACCTAATTTGTTCTGAGGAAGATAAATGAACCATTTCGCACTGTAAATGCTACAAAATCATTGAAAAAAAATCTCACTTTTCAGCGTTAAGCTCGTGCAATGAATAATCCATTTTGTGGTTCAGTTTTGCTCTTAGCATTTGGCTGGCGTAGACAATGTTGTGGTTGTCTAACACATAAGGAGACTGATATTTTTAATTGTCAGACGTGTATAGAAGGAAGAAAGATAAGGCTCATGAGTACAATTAGTGTGGTTGATTTGAATTCATTAGTTTGCTTATAAGTTGGTCTCTATATTTTTGTGATTACTGCTACTATTTTGCTGTTTAAGAGGATTATGTTATTCTTTTTAATTTCTGCAGGTTGGATGACCCTGTCATGTGGGGTTTCAAAGGTTTCCCCATTACTGATGCAAGAATTGGACGCTGGGTACTAGCAGCTGAAGATATATGCTTTAAAAATACGGTGCTGTCATATTTTTTCCGACTTGGTGTGTAATATCTCGATAGTTCAGGATAATTTTTCATTTGCATTTTCTTCAATCACCAATTTGTGAAATTGTTCTGGTACCTTAGTCTGTTCTTCTTAAACAGCGAAAGGAACTTTTAAATAGTCCTACTGCAGTAGACATATATCCTGCATTTTGTGGAAAGACCAGCACTGAAGTCCTTGTTGCAATCATTTCTCCTTTTTTGGGATGTTTGGACTACTTAACGAATGCTTGTTCTTAATAGATAATGATAGCTGATGTCCTTATTTACTGAGCAAAAATTTGGACATGCAAAAGATCTTTTGGAGAATGTGTTAGAAGATACATGTGCTTAATCACTGAGTGCACATCGTACATAATTGTCTGTCATCTCTACTATCTTTGATCACGTTCCTCATCAACCTTCCACAGATATCAAGTTGAATGGCTAAATTGTAATGGTTCAATTGTGCTTTTTAGGCCAAAGAAATTGCATGGCAGCCTGAAGCAGTCCATCTTTAGTGAGCTTGACTTTGTTTAGAAGTGCTTGTAAAAGCAGTCAGGACAAGGTTTTATCTTTGAAAATTGATAGTTACCAAGGCAATGAACTGATTCTAGCTTGCTGAAGAAGCTCAGGTTGCTAGCTTAGCAAACTAAAAAATGAACCAGACTACTGTTTGACTATTCCTTGTTAATGAGCTGAGGTTGTAGTTCTTTCTTATCTGTAATGATCTAACTTGGCTTCATACTCATGGAAAGTTGGTTTCTTTCTCATGGAACATTTGCAGGGAAATGCATACCTATAACAAGAGGAGGAGGAATCTATCAGGAACATATGAATGAAGCTCTTGATCGCTTGAGGGATGGAGCTTGGGTAATTTATGTTATTATACTGTTTTAGTTTCACACTGAGCCTGAATATACTGTAATTGCAGTGTAGATATGACATTTGCTTCTCTCTCTCTCTCTCTCTCTCTGTCTCTCAAATTGTACCCCCTTTTCCCCTTGATTCATTTCTCGTGTGCATTCTTGTCCACTTTGCCTTGTGTTGTTCCATTGATTTTACTGTCTGTAGCTTGTCCATCATTCTTATCACAATGCAATTAGTCTTTATCGCTTCTGTGGGTAAGATAGGCTGACATTTCCTTGTGTGAATCAGAGCTATTGGTCCTCCCTCTTATTTGTGAAGTTACACTAATGTTCCCTGTCAGTTTTTTTTTTTTATTTAAAAAAGAATAAAGAACAGAGGAAAATACTCTTGTTGCCCCCTCTATTACTCCTGCCATTACCTACCAACATGTACGACATTCATTATAGTAATAAGTAATCTAAAAAAACATTTTTTTTTTTATTTTCCTACTGCACAAGGTTTCTAGACTTGCTCCAATGAGGTGAGCGTAACTATCTTTCACGCCCTCCCTCATTTCTGTTAACTTTTTCAATGTCACGTTTTTTGATTGCTTATTTGTAAGGTTCTCAAACCATGTAGTGGTCTTCTATCTTTATTATGTGCTTGATGGTGCACATCAAGAATTGTGCTTTCCTCCTAGAATATTTTATGTAGGAGTATTGTTATTGAAGATAAAGTCAATTCTTTCAAGCAAGATTATAGTTTTCAGTGTTCTCAAACTCTCTTCTTTTGTGATGGACAGTTACATACATTTCCAGAAGGCAAAGTGTGTCAAGAAGAAGCACCAATAAGAAGGTTAAAATGGGGAACTGCCAGTCTCATTGCTCGTGCTCCTGTAACTCCAATAGTTCTGCCAATTTTTCATCATGGTTTGCAAAAGGTCATTCTTGGTGTTATGAAAATGTTGTTTGAATGTCTTGAATATCTTCCTTTGCCATCTGTGCACTTTAGGTACTAAATAGTGCATTTCATTCTAGAGAATGATGTGAATTGCTCCCATTGACAACTTTAACTCCTTCCTCTCTTGAATTAACCAATTTCTAAGTACAATTGTGTACTATTATATGTAGGAAAGATGTGTGCTTTTGCATGTTCATGCTTACAGGAGCATGTGGTTTGAGTTTTTTGTTTATATGTTGGTCACAAATCGTTTTGTTTGATTTTGTTAAATGGTGTATGAGAGATTTAAACACAGACTTCCAAATACAAACTTGTATATTTGGATGAAAACTTTCTCTTTTACATTATTTGGGTACATGATAGTGGACAGTATTATTTGGCTCACTCCTTTTGTGTACTCAAAACAATAGCTGAACTACTTTATTCTTCTAGAGCTAAGCTTGCTGAGCCTAGCCCGACCTTGAAGCTTGTCGAGAATATCTAACTCTTGGAATTCATGGTAGTTGTAGAATTGAGCTTTATCCAAATTACTGTGCTTGTTTTTCCTTGTTGGTTCTAAAATACTCATTCCTTCTGAAAATTTCCAGGTGATGCCTGAAAATTATATGTTTGGAAGAAGACCTCTTTTACCGTTATGGAATAGGAATATCAACATTGTCATTGGTGAGCCAATAGAATTTGACTTGCCTAAGCTGAAGCAGACGGCATTGTATCGGTCTAAGGATTCAAGTCATTCTGGTGCCAGGTGGCCCATTCTGAAACCGTGTGGACTGGATGAGGCAGCACAAAGATGGCTTTACACATCCATATCAGAGCGAATTCGGACTGTGATGGAGAGATTGCAAAGTTTGGGAAAGTTGAAGTGCTGATCTAAAGTTCAAAGAACTGAACTTGACAGTGTGGTTTTGAGTCATGGCGCACTCAACTTCCTATTTTTAAATCTTGTGCATTTTTGGCAGGCTTTTTACACTCCCTCTTGTTTGTTGAAGATTAATGTCTTAGGTCTAGAATGAATTTTTCTGCCCATTGACGATTGGTGTTGATTAACTCTGTAGTTGCGCTTTCAAGTGGAGAGTGTATTAGTTGCAAATCTTGCAGGTTGCCATTTACAGTTTATGCCGGACTTCTATGTGCAGCATCAATATTCTTTCTTGTGCATTCCCAAGGACACGAGTCTTTTATTTTGGGAAAGAGGCAATGGCTTGGATGGGTGAACTTCGATTAAGCCGATTAGAATGAGAACAATTAGAGAATGAGGATGTCTTTTGTCATTCTACCATCGTCCTCATTTCTTCTTCAAGGAAACCTTCATATGTGGAGCACGGGGGGTCAGATTCCGTTTTTGTTGAGTTGATTTTCAGGTGCACAAATAGTTCCTGTAATAGGAAAAAAAGGAATGATTGTGCTGTTTCGCCATGTTTAACATTCTGCTATTTCAGCTGGTTGCTGCCCAAAAAGAAAAGGAAAAAATCCAACCTAATCAACAATATCAGAAGCGAAAAAAAGGTAAAAAGACCACAATCAAAACCTTGGGTCAAATTCTAACTTACCTCCAGACATATTTGGTTTTCCTCAATTCCCAGTTTTTTAGAGAAGTTTATGTTGTTTCCCAAACTTGGAATTTTCTTCATTCGCAGATCGGTATCTCACAGAATTAGATGATATTCATGCGCCGTTTTCTCCTGGATCCAGTTGTGTCATGTATGTTCTCCATTGATAAATCTCTCTCATGTGTACAGTGTTTGTAAGCCTGGTCAAACAAAATAGGTCGGTCTGTGTCAGATGATAATCTAATTAAATCCCAGAAAGTGAGTGCTGCCCTGTCTCCATTTTTCAGTCAAATGATGATGAGGAAATGATGGTCCTGACTCTGCAGCATCCTTCTCATCCATCAATGGCAGCGCTCCCCAACACCAGCACCAACAGCCGTCTTATTGCCTTCACCACCCCAAAAAATTATGCAGAAAGGCTCTCCCACGTTATCCAACTCAAGGGCTGGTGTCCCATCTGGTGTCCCACTGTCATTGTTGAAACCACCCCACACACCATCTCCTCCATCCAATTCTACCTCTCCAATCCAAATGCCATCAACAATTCCCAGAATCATCCCAACCTCGAACAATTCTCAGGTATAGCTTTCACATCAAGAACTGGAATCAAAGCTTTCTCAGAAGCCTTAACCAACATCCACTCACCCCCACTTGCCCCACATGGTGAAACCTTCACAATTTCAGCTCTAGGCAAAGACTCAGAGCTGCTAGATGAATCTTTTATTAATAAACTTTGTGAAAATCCCCGTAGAATTAAGGTCTTGGTTCCTCCAATTTCAACACCAACAAGTCTAGCCGAATCACTGGGATTAGGCCAGGGAAGAAAGGTGTTATGCCCAGTTCCATCTGTACTAGGCCTGGAGGAACCACCTGTTGTGCCTAATTTCCTTGCTCATCTAGCTAGAATGGGATGGACTGCGGTTAGAGTTAACGGTTATGAGACCCGGTGGGGGGGCCCCACGTGTGCTGAGGAGGTAGCGAGGAGGACTGATGAGGAATGTGGGTTGGATGGCCTTGTGTTTACAAGTACTGCAGAGGTTGAAGGGCTTTTGAAGAGCTTGAAAGAGTTGGGGCTGAATTGGGAGATGATGAGGATGAGGTGTCCAAGCATGTTGGTGGCTGCTCATGGTCCAGTTACAGCTTCTGGTGCTGAGAGATTGGGAGTTGGCATAGATGTGGTGAGTTCTAGATTTGATAGTTTTGATGGTGTTGTTGATGCACTTGCTTATAGGTGGAAATCATTGGATTGCTGTTAAGACAATCAAGCATGTAAATTGATTGGAATGTTGTTTATCACATTTAATCCAAAGATATAATTTGACAACTAACAAAAGTTACAAAGATACTAAGAGTTCTGTTCTGGAAGCTTAGGTCTGATCTAAAGGCTTCAGAGTAGGAGGGCAGTCAATAACGGAGTGTGAGACTTTAAGCAACAAGAAGTTTGGCCACTTGTCTTGCTGAAATTGGTAGAAAAGATGCAATAGGTGTGTGAAAGAGATCTAAATGAGGAAAGCTGTGCTTATGTGCAACTTCAGAAGATGAGATTGTTTCTTTTCTTTTATTTTTGGCTTTTGAAACTGACAAAAGAGTCGATTTCAACACAAACTAACAATTGTATGTATTGATACACATTTATACTTGCTAAGGATTAGTGACTGTTAAAAACTTTCTTACTGGGATTCTTAATTACATACTCCTATTGGCTGCTCTCTCTTGTTCTTCTTTTCCTTTTGGAGTAGCTCTTGTCAAAAACTGGCACCAAATGAACAAATGGTAGCTGAATTGCTAGGAATAGCTATTTTCTTGTTGCTTGATACCATCATTTGTGGGAACTGAGGAAGACCTGGACATTAGCTCAGTTCAATTGCATGGATGATAGCCTCTCATACTCAATACTGTCTTCCTCCAGTCTCCTATTCCAGGAAACTTTTCAAGAACAGCAACTGGATCGATCACATGTGTCTGTTGTGTTGCAAATGTTTAGTCCTTTCACTGATGCACCAAAATTAAAGCTGTTTAGGCAAGTTGCTTAACCAGTGAAACTCCATTATGTACTGTAATCTGAATAGACATTATTGATGCTCCAATATCGAAAAGTAACATTTGATTACATCCAACATTTCTAAGCAAAGGATCCTTCTACTGTGCTCTGCTTTCTTTCTTTCTTTTTTTCGTCCTACCTTGGAGGAACATGATTTAGTTTTCAATCAAAATTTACAAGAATTGGTCCATCACTTCCTTGTTATTGGATAAGACCCTGCGATGGATGCCTTATCGACTTTACTTTTTGTCCAATCATACATGATGAGCATTTGTAACAAACATGCTGGTGTTATGATCCAAGTCTATAAAGTTGCTAACTAACATGCTGTATTAGTTCTGCACATGGTGGAACATACCACTATTTTTACTTGGTTCCCCATGACCCCATCAGGAAACCAAATCAACCATACCCAAAAACTACCAGACCCCATCAAATTAATTTGCCATGTTAGTGATTTCAATCATCATAAAACCAGTAATAAACTCATGAAAGTTTTGCTACATTAGTTTTATTTATGAGAAAGACCTTTGCTTCTTTCATGATTACAGTAATTTTGCGTCCCTTGTGTTTGTCATTTTCATTCTTCTGTAACATCCGACCTTTTTTGTAAGGTACCAATAAGGTAATGCCAGTTCTTGCTTTCTTTTGAAGAAGGGAGGGTTATGTAATATGTATGTATTGGAGAGAACAAGAAAAAGCTCTGAACTCAGGACAAAGTAATTGGTAAAAATTTCCAGTAAGTACCAATTTGGATTGAGAATTATTATGAAGGGAATCATTTCTTTGTATTCACTTATGACTTGTAATGCTTCTTCTTTCATTCTTTAACAACTAGACTGAAAAAAAGAAGAAGAAGAAGAAGAAGAAGGAGATAGTACTATTACATTTCTCTGTCTGAACAACTAGTTAAAAAAAGAATCTGTTTGTCCGGATGATTTGCACTTTACTTCCATCATGTTCTGTCCCTAATCAAGAGACCATTCCCTGTGGTTTTTGACCTTCTCTCTGATTTCAGGCGATCTCATTCCAAACATTCATACACTCCTGATTTTGGAACTTCACATTTGCCCTTTCGATCATTATGGGAAGAGAAAATTACGGAAATGAAATGATTGGTTTATTTGCCTCTCTCTTTATCCTCCATCCATGATACAGATGTCTACATGGAGATTTTGAGTTCATTTTACATTCCCTTTCAAAACATTAAGAAGATATTTTCTTCTGTACGAGGAGGAATTTGAGGAAGAGTTTTTGAGCTTCCTATAACCAGAAAGTTGTTAAATTGGCCTATGTGATGATGAAGGCCTGCTAGAATGGACCCAACCACTGAAGATCAGAAAATATGCTGGATACCAAACAACTCAAACGAACAAGGAGGCATTGGCCCTCAAAATGAGACTCCACTGAAATTATGTACAGAATAAAACCCCCCCAAAAAAAAAAGGGAAAAATAATGAAAGTGAAATGTATCAATTGACCATTTATCTGTGTTTGGTGTGAAGGCAGATAGAATATGTATCAAAGTTCCTATTGCCACCAACTTTTTATCAATTTTGACCGCTAGGATCTACTGTCTGACGAGATGAGAAAGATACAACAACACATTGGCTGCCAAGGACGATTCAAGAGTTTAGAGACTATAGAATACAAAATGGGTTGTTCTTGTCTTTTCGGTTGGTCAAAACTTTTTGTTATCACTTCCTTCAAAAAAAAAAAAAAAAACTTTGTTATCACCCAAGTACTACTAATAAAGACTGATAACTTTATTGTGTTTCCTTTTTTTTTTTATGAGCTTATTATAAGGGGCCACAATTTAAGGAGTAATAGAAACAAATAAGCAATTGCAACTCGACACCGTTAGTAAGTAATCCAAAAATAATCAGATGAATACTAATGCACTAAATAAAAGGAAAAACACATGCAGAGATTATAGTTCCTAGCATCTTTAACCTTGATCACTAAAACCATTAGGTCAGCTCAATGACTAAAGGGGGATTTTTAGTTTTTTTTTTTTACTGTTAGATTCAGGGTTTGTATCATAATAGTTAAGGATTGGAAGGGCTTTCAAATTCAGAACTCAGAATCCTAACAATTAGGAGTAAGAAGGGTGTGGAGAGGGATTGAAGGGTTTTTTTTTAAAAAAAAAAAAACACACACATTGATCACTTGTTCAAATCTTCATCAACAACGTCATCTGGCAATTGAGAGTATTGAGTCCAAGATCTTTGATTTTAAAATGTTTCTCTGCAATAAATTAATGTGAGCAGGCTTGGTTTAATAGCAATTGATTTGTCTTGATATTCATGTATACAAGTAAACAATGCCGGCTTACCGGTCGAAAAGGATTATTAACAAAAAAAACAAAAAAAGAAGAAGAAATTCTGGCCCTACAGGTAGCAATTAGTAGTGTCAATTTGGTATTTAAAAGTAAAAAGAAAAGAAAAATCCAACTCCTGAGTTTTTACTCTTTAACAGGTACACTCAACCTTTTCATGTGTGCCATAAATACAAAATCCTCTCCACTTTCGTTGCACTTTTTAGTTGTTGGTTGTTTTGGAAAGAGCCAACTTTTCAGCATTGAATAAATGATTCACGAATGGAGACTTGGTAGTAGTGGTACCATTGCAGTAATGGGAATAGTAGTGGTCATTGTACACTTCTCGTGAGTTTATTTATTGCAAAATCATCTCAATTCCCTCCACTTTCGTTTCTCCAGTCCACTCCACTCCACCTGGTGCAATTTTATGCAGAATTCAAAGCCGGCTGGCCGGCATCTAACTGAGAATGTATATGAAGTCATCAAGTCTACATCTATTTATCTATTTTTTTTAACTGATTCATTCTCCGAGAGAATGCTCTCTCTTAAGATTGTGATTTTCCCTTAAACTTGTCACAGGGGCTAAATATGATTCAGCAAATTACATCATATGCTCGATTTAGTACATTACTCCTCCTTTTTTTCCTTCCCTTGTTCACTTTCAGATCAAAGAGGTGCATTACTGCACATCCTTTAAATTTTTATTGCATATGCAGAGATTTGAATTCTTGAACTATTGTCAGGTCTGCACGCTTGAACTTATATGCTTTATTTGGTGGCTAACTCACGTAAACAGAGTTGGTTAAAATAAAATGTATGTTCCTTCTTGAAAGATGCAAATGCATTTTCTTTATTATTTCTAAACGTTAGAATAATTATATCCTAAGTTCCAAAGTTTTAAGCCTTAAAGTTGCAAATCCAAACACAAGATTAGTTAGATTGGAAATGTAGGGGGGTAAGCGACTAAAGTCATTGAGAATGAGGTAAGGCCTTTTTCTCCTTTTTTTTTTTTTTTTTTTTGTGGGCTGGGGGGTGGTGGTTTGGGGGTTGTCCAGAATCAAGTAACTTCTTTTTTGTATGGTTTCCTGAATCAAACAAGTGTTTAAATGCAAATTAAATAAATGTAGCCACCATCCTTTGGTTTTCTTGGACACAAAATTGCTTTAATCAAAACACTTAATGATGCATGCCAAATAGATTGAAACTGCAAAACAATTAAGTGAAATCAAAACTGCGAACCAATTTGATTTATGACCAGCATCTTTCTTCCCTCCACTGAATGTCAAGTGGGAATTTGCCCACAATAGGACCCTGAAATTAATTTGAGACTGAAAATACTTTAGGGTATCTTCAGATTCACCTTTGGGACTAACCACAGAAAAGGGTAGGGTACGTTATATTGTACTACTTTCAGCTTTCATCGGTTCTCCTGCTGACAGATAGTACTTTTAAGGTAAAAATTGGAAAGAATAAAGACACCAATAACTACAATATCATACCATGTTGATATACTTGGGGGTTATAATCAGTTATCTGATGTGTCTCACTATTCAAACATATGAAATATATCTATATATAGTATAGATACTCCCCTTTCATAACTCACAGTTTTTTGTATGAGTGTTTCGATAAATGGACTCTGCGAAGACACTTCAAAAGCCGGCAACTTTTGAAGTGCTCCGCAGCACTTAACTACTAAACCCCCCAAACCCCCCCAAGCGATGTGGGAACTTAACCCCACAGAATTTTTCAAGAATACTCACTCTAGTAGGTCCTTGAGACAAAATTTTTCAAGAATTAAATTCCCGCGCAATGAGCTACCTTGAAGAAATTGAAATTTGATCTTTTCTTTTCTTTTCTTTTCTCTTCTCTCCTGAGAGACGTATACTTGAAGCAAGCTGCATTAAAGACTGGAAAATGGTTTTTATGTTCGACGTCTGCCAATCAATGAGTCCATGTGATGATGTGTGGCCATGGCAAATGAAGCTTCTATTAGCCTTTGAACACGGATTGGCTTCACTGTTTATGCTCTAATCATGAAGATAGATGCAAATATCTCTTGTTAACAGATTCAATCCACAGTTAGCTTTAAAGTTTCTTAACTAATACTACTACTAGTAGTTTATTGGATTTTATAGTATCAGTAGAGACAACCCTTTTCTTCTTTGTTTTGACATAATGGAGCATGATAAAAAGAAAAAAGTTGGTCCCTGAATTCTACCTATTTTTCCTCATGAAGTGACACAAGAAGTTTGAGGATAAAAACACAACAGTCTAGTATCACATGCAATGAAAATGGTCATGGCGTGAAAGTACAGACACAGTTGGGATCTTCTATGCCACTACTCGGTGTCAAATTCAGTGTCAATCCCACTTATCACGTGATGATAGAAGAAATTTAAATAAATAGCACATAACAAATTAAATAAACAGGACACTTGACATAAATATAAAAGTGGCACTGAATTATCACTGGAAAAGTGGCACTGAGGATCCCGTCTGGTACATACAAGTTTTTTTTTTGTTTGTTTAGTGAAATAAGGAAAAATGGCCTCTCCCCCCCCCCTCCCCCCAAACACACACACCCCCAACAAAAAAAAAAAAAAAGTAGAAAGGATGGAATGAATGATCAAGAAAAACTTGGAGACTAAAATTCCATTTTTACACTTCTATCTATTAATTAATCTCTAGATTCACAATTCAAACTCTTTCTCAATTTCTTCCTTCATCATATATTGTGATTTTTTATTTTCAAAATGAAAATGATAATCTCCAATTTATTCTTTAGATATTGATCTTTATTGATTACAAATAGCCCATAATAGTGGTGATGAATACAAGTTGAATAATAATTTCCAACTGCACATTAGATTTGGAAATGAATTTTCTCTAGTCAAATACAAAATTCCCATTCATTCCCAAAAAGTTGAATACTACTCACTAGATTCTGAAAAAATTTACTAGTGTGCGAGTACAAGCAAACAAAACAAAGCTCATCCTTATTGTCCACTCTAAAGTCCAACCCCCTCCCCCCTCCCCCCTCCCTCTCTCCCAATAGGAAAAAAAAAACTATAAAGAAATAATTTAGAATAAGTACAAAGGAGCAATAGTACAGTTTTGATATATATTTTGGGGTATTCCCAAAAAGTGCTTGATATTATTTAAAAAAGTTCTCGTGACCTTCACATCTTCTTTCTCCCTCCTTCACTCCGCTCTTCTCTCTCTCTCTCTCCCTCTCTCTCTCCGGCTGGTACAATACTAAGCAGAGAGACGAAGAAGAAGAAGAAGAAGAAAGATCCCTATTTTTTCCTTTTTGGTTTACTTAAGGTTGTACCAAAATCAAACATCATCAAAACCTACATTTTCTCCCTCCTAAGATTTCCATCAATCTAACCGTCTCATCAGCTTCTCCCTGATACTAAGTACTTACTACTCCTATATTTCTTTTTTTTTTTTATGGCACTCAATCCCATATTTTTTTTAATATGTAGCTTGGAATTTTAAATTGTCTAATGTTTTCTGACTGAATCATGGTTTTTTTGATCTGCCCATTTTAGCATCCCAATGTTATAAGCTACTAATTTCCAAGGTGAATGTTTCTGGGTTCAATGCTACTGTGATTTTTAGTCCCATTAGTTTCCTTCTGGTAATTCTGTTCCCTGGTTCAGTTTGGATCTCTGGAGTTCGATGTTATCGAGAATTGATTCTTTCTGGGTTCAAAAGTTTTCCCAAATTGATGCCATTGCTTTCTTCACTATAGGGATTTGCTTTGCTTCCGTTCTGTTCTTTTTTGAAGCTCTGATTTGCTGTTTCTTACTCTACTTATATCCTTTCGTTTTTTGATATGAAGTTATCAGTGCTTAAGAGTTCTGCAACATACTTTGGAGTTTGGATTTGATGTTGACGATATGCATTGCAGGGTACTTATTTGGAATAATTAGCAATGGTTTTTACTCATGTAAGTGGTCTGAAATTGCTGCCTTTTTCCTAATCTTTCCGATCTAAAATTGGTACATATTAACTTCTTCCTACACTACATTAAATCCCTTTTCCGTCTTTTTTCTAAATTCTGAATTGAAATGAGCTTTGGCAATTTTTTCCAGGTAATGGAACTGTTTTGAAGACAAACAAGAGTTGAATTCTGAAAGGGCAAAAAGAAAATAGAAAGATCAAAATTAAGGAGCAACTGTTCAAAAAGAAGGAAGAAAGTAAAAAGGGGGATGTTTGGGAATAG